TAAGTGAAATAAGTCATACGGAGAAAGACAGATACCATATGCTTTCACTCTTACGTGGATCCTGAGAAACTTAACAGAAGATCATGGGGGAGGGGAAGGAAAAAAAAAAAAGTTAGAGAGAGAGGGAGCCAAACCATAAGAGGCTCTTAAAAACTGAGAATAAACTGAGGGTTGATGGGGGTGGGCAGGAGGGGAGAGTGGGTGATGGGCATTGAGGAGGGCACCTGTTGGGATGAGCACTGGGTGTTGTATGGAAACCAATTTGACAATAAATTTCATATTAAACAAGGAAGGAGGGCATAGTTTTGGTATTTTTATACTACCTGGTCAGAAACCGAGCAGCCTGGAGTAGCAGGGGGAGAGCTGTAGGTAGCATTGGTGGTGAGGAGCTTCAGCTTTGCGCCAGCAAGTTTCTTTTTCATTCTTGTTTGACAACCCAGAGGTGGCTGGGACGATGCCTTGCTCTGCAAATGGTGGAGACATCCGCATTCGAGGGTAGACGGGGAGCACTCACTCCAGAGGGTTTCCCACCCAGGGGTCCTCCCTACCTGGATGCTTCTAGAAACCCTGGTGGGGGGTCAGATAGGTTCCCAACTGCCCCCACAGTTATGGGTGTTAATGAGTTCCTGCTGGAGCCTATTGGACTACTGCACCAGGGAGTTGCGTATATGGCCAGCCTTCCCTCCGGACCAGTGCTGTTTGCTCTTTTATTAAATAGAAATGCCTTGAATTTCTGGTGTATGAAAGTTACCCCTTCTAATTGCCTTAAAGGATTTAACTTTTTTCTGGGTTTTTTTTTTTTTTTCCTATTCTTTGGGTCACTTTAATGAGATTATGGAAGGAGGTAGAGTTATATGTGGTACTTAATCACCAGGAAGTCTCGCATTTCTAAATGTACCACAAATCTGTCTTCCTATACTTATTTTAACTTTACATTAAAAAGTCCAGGAGCGCCTGGGTGGCTCAGTCAGTTGAGTGTCCAACTCTTAATATTGGCTCAGGTCAAGATCACAGGGTTGTGGGATTGAGCCCCAGGTCGGGCTCCATGCTGGTTATAGAGCCTACTTAAGATTCTCTCTCTCTCTCTCTCTCTCTCTCTCTCTCTCTCTCCCCCCCTTCTCTCTTTCTCTCTCTCTGTGTCCCCCATCCCTCCCTCCCTCTCTCCTCTCCCCCTCTGCTTTCTCTCTCTCCCTGCTCATGCTTTCTCTCTCTAAAAAAAAAAAAAATTAAAAGTCCAGTCTCTTCGTCTGTATTTTCTGTGCCCTTTCTAATTGAATCTAGAACTGCATGATCCCATTTCGGAGCTAAAAATATACAGCATGCTCTAACCGTTCAATTTTTATGAGTGCCATCTATACACACAGTGTAGCCAATCTAGCATCTTAAACAGAACTCTTCACCTGGAATATTCCATGCTTCTCAGTTCAGTTAATTAGCATCACACTGACTTGTGGATTTAGAAGCATTTGGATTCTGCTACTTATTTTTTTCTGGCCTGCAGGAAATGTATAAGGTTAATACAGAGAGCTTTCTATTTTAGTAAGCCTGTTTACTAATTGGTAGAACATGACATTTGTGTTACTTAATACATTAAGGCAGAGGAGTTGGGAATTTGTACAAAACAAACAAATTTGATATTAAATTTTGAAAAACGACAGAAAATTTCTCACTTTGGCTGTTGCATGGTATTGGTACGAAAAGATTCAAAAGCAATAAAATGAAAAGTGAAGGGCTTTATGTAGCGTGTGGAAATGAAACAAATATTGTACCGCTTAAAAAAGAAGCCATTCCACTTGCCCTTGACTCATCCTTTGTTCAGTGTCTCCCGATGTTTCATTTTCTGTCTGGGCTGTGTTGCTCGCCCAGCTGGACCCTGTGGAGGGACCGCTCTGAGTTGGAGAAACCCTGAGAAGGGGCCAGAGGTAGGTGCCCTGTCCCTGAGAGGCACTGGTTTGCAAATTCCTAGGAATAGTACCAGGTGTTTTTTTTTTTTTTTTTTTTTTTTATGTTTATTTGTTTATTTTGAGAGAGAGAAAGAGAGAGGGCATGAGCGGGGGTGGGACAGAGGGAGCAAGAGGGAGAGAATCCCAAACAGTCCCTGTGCTGACGGCACAGGGCTTGAGACGGGGCTGACACGGGGCTTGATCTCCCAAATCGCATCGTGAGATCATGGCCCGAGGAAGTTGGATGCTCAACCAGCGGCACCACCCAGGTGCCCCAGACCAGTACAACTTTTCATCTTCAGCTGTCTCTGCTCTGCTCCCAGACCATGGACGGTGGTGCCCCACCAGTCACATTTGTAGATGTGACTCCCTGGGGGGTTAGGACCCATCTGCCCTGGGACACTGGGACCCAGTTAACATGGCCACATGGTCTCCTGCTATTTTTTTTCCTTCCAAATTAGTCTTCAGTTTCACAGTTTCAAGCCCGTTTCCCTATATGAGAAAATGGAAACGAAGTAAGAGTTGAGTAGTTTCCTTTCTGACACTGGTTAATTTTTATCCATCTTCTCTGAGCAAAGGGTCTGGAATTGAGGACTGATAGGAAAGGCATTAGCCAAATGGATGCGAATCTTGCGAAAGCCTTATTATAAATCCAACAGATATATTTTCTGAAATAAAAATTAGTGGTGCAGTAGTGACAGTCAAGGAAAACCTTGAACTAATGTATAAATTTTATGTAAGTAATACCTCTGTGCTTTGTTGAATAAAAGCTTTACAGTTTTTACAGTCACATCCTTCAGTCACTTCTATTTGTGGATTTTTATCTTATTTAAGAAGGCCTGCTTTATCCTAATATTAAAAGAATTCTCTGGTGTGGTCTTCTAATACTTGTTTAATTTTTCTCCTCAGTTTTGTCTCTATTTTCTGTAGCATTTATTTCCATGTATCCTACAAGGTACAAATCTATTTTTTCTTCAATAAATGTCAGTTGATTTGGCATCATTAAATAAAGTCTGTTCTTTTCCGACTGAGATAATATGCTACCGTTAGCATAAACTGCATTCTGATTTTTGCCTTTTTCTTTTATTTGGTTTTCTCTCTCAGTAGCCTGTTAGTTATTGAGTCTCTACATTTCAGAGTTTATAAGAAATGTCTTATAGCTTTAAAATATGTTTTGACATCTGGACAAGATGTTTCCTCTCATTATTAGTCTTTTTCAAAATTTTGTTGATCTTACCGATTTTTTTCTTTTTTTTTTTTTTAGTTTTGATGGGCTGCAGACTCAGTTGATAAGTTCTGTAAGAAAATCTTTTGATTTTGATAGGAATCGCATTCATTTCACAGAGTGATATTGAGTCTCACCATTTGGTTTGCATTTTACCTGTTTATGTCTTCCTTTATGTACTGTGGCTTTCTTTACATTTTTGTTTCTCTTCTATCAGTAGGTTTATTACTGGATATTGGACACACACACACACACACACAAACATTGTGAATAGTTTTTCTAATTGGTTAGTTGTGAGTAGAAAAGGTATTTTTTTCTATGATCACCCTGTGGCTGACCCAACCTGTTGCCTTATTTGCCTTAATAATTCTTTTTAGGTGATTTTCCTAATTTACTGGGTATTCCTTTCTAATATTCGTACCTCCTTTGTTTTCTTGGGTAGGCGCCTTATTCAAGACCTTCGATACGTGGTTGAGTTCTTAGTGGTGAGGTAATGATAAGCAAGTATGCCTGCCTTGCTTCTGATTTCAGTGAATATGCTTCTGATACAATGCCATTTTTAGAATTCTTCGTCTTTTTTTCTTTAAATCATGAATTGAGGTTGAATCTTACCAAGAGCTTTTCTAACCTGTATTGAGACAGTCATCTGGTTGAATTTCTGACTCTGTTAATGTACTGAATTACATGACTAGATTTCCAGATGTTTAACCATTGTTCATTCCTAGGGTAAACCATTTGTCTGGTAGGATTTGGTTTTCAATAATATTATGCTTTCCTGCATCAATAGGTCAAGTACGTCTCCCCTCTTTCTACTATAATCTGTTGCATACTTCTAAAAGTCTGTGCCACACTGTCCCAGTTATCCATTGTGTTACATGTTTTGTAAGAGTTAGAATTACACTAAGTGGGGAATAAAAAAGAAGTAAAAGGTAGAAGTTAGAAACGACCGTCTCACACATTTTGCTCCTGGGAATATTGTCAAAATGTACAAATCACATCTCTCAACAGACCTAGGATGGTGTCGGCTCAGAAATAGTATTTTTCTTTGTGTGTCGTTTTTTGCAGAAATGGAACTTGTTTTTTTTTTTAATCATCAGTATATTAGTGTGGTGAGATAAGGATGCGAGGGATATAAATGAGTTTATTTCAAGTGCTTAGTCAGCGGAACAACAACGAGATTGGTATCAAGCACATGGGACCTACTGTGTGCATGGCGTCCTTAGCACCCGCCACCCAAATTAGTGTTCACAGCAGTGTTGGGGGGCAAGCAGTGGGGCTGTCGGCACCCCATTCGGTGGGAGTGTGAAACAGGCTCGGAGGGGATACATGGCACAGCCAAGGCCACATGGCAAGTAAGAGATCTAGTGGAAACTAGACCTTAAGTCTTCTTAGCCTCAAACCAGTCTCCATCCCGTCTCTGCCTCGGAGTTTTTAATGATGAAAAATAGACCCTCCAAGTGGCAGAAACCGGCACAGAGGCAAAGCGAGTTTTGAACCCATTCTTTCCCCTTCACCGCTCGCCCACTCGGGCCAGGAGCTCCAGTGTGAGGAAACCGACAAGGATTCCTCAAGGAATACCTTCTACAGCATCATCAAGATTTACATTTTGAACTGCCTTTTCTTTGTCTCCTAAATTAAGGTAGTCACTAAGCCGCAGGGGCAGTGTAGCAATTTCACACGACTTTGTGTGTTGGGCTCCTTGGGATCGAGGAGCGCACAGTCCCGCGCGGACACTGATGTTCCCATCCGGCTGCTTAGTGTGGAACAGCAACGGGTACTGTGGTCCTGCGGTCCTGTCAGGGAGAGGTGCTGGGACTGCCTGGGGACAAGTGCCGTGACAGGACCGCAAGGGCCTGGCAGCCTCTGCTTCCCGTGACCCTTGTTTCCACAGCCGAGTTCAAGCACCTCGGCTGTCCCGGGCACAGGAGTGTGTCTCAGGATACCCTGGTCACCCAGGTGAAGTGTGCGGTGGCCGCTCCTTAGCCCACATGCGTGGCTTCCCCGTGTTAACTCTTCTTCCTAGAACGGCACAGGACAAGCTTGGAGAAAGAATAACGTGCTGCTTTCTCCCTTTAAAAAAGCGTCCAAAGATATCGTGATGTTGGTTTTCCTGGTGCTTTTGGTAATTCAGATATTTTACTGGGCTGTTATGCAAATGTTAGGTTTTCAAAGGAATTGTGGGGATCTCCTTTTTACCCTAAGCTATGCTGATATGTATGCTGTGTAGTTCAAGTCTTTACTAGAGTTAAATGTTAGACGTTAGAGGGTCTAGTGAAACCATTGTCTGGCTATCTATATGAGTGTCTGAGTAGAGAGTGGAAAGTCTTCCTTCTTTTCCTCCTTCTTATGTTGCAACATGATGTTAACAGTAGAGAAGCAGCCGTCATAAAGCGGGCAGACAGAGGATGGTGTGCGAGTCTAACTGAATGTACCAGAAGACTGGCGTAGAAACTGGAGCTGACCATACAAGGAATAGGCCAAAAGGTAGGGACCGTCAGGCAGGCTCTGAGTTGAGAAAACCCACAGTCAGGGGTAGGGTGTAAGAATGGTACCTGTGGGCAGGTTGAGACTTTTGATTCTGGGGCAGAGGTTGGTTGACTTATGGAGAAGCGGGCCCCCCCTGGTGACAGGACAAAGCATTAGGTGAACTGAGAGGGACCATTACCCAAGGTGATAAGAAAGAGGTTGGCTGGGAGGAGAATCAGGATCCAGTTTCATAGTTGGAAAGACAGTGCTTGTTAAACTGGTAAGTTGAAGTAAAGACAGAAGTGAAAGGCACTTCGTTTTGGAGAGCTGAGGACAGAATGAAGTGAAGAGTTCAAATTGCATTAAGTGAGAGGCTCCGGTAGGCTGGAATTTCCAGACTGGAGGCTTGGCTAAGACATCTCCAGCCAGGTGTCTGCTGTGTACCTGTTGGGAGTTTGTGTGTGTGCAGGTGCCGGCCAGTGGGCTCAAAGGTGCCAGCCAGCTTGGCCAGGAGCCTGAGGGCCACGGAAGAAGGATGCATCTAGAATTCAACGTGGCCTTAAAAGTATGAGGAAGGTTCTGGTTCATGTGTAGAAAATTGCAAGAGACCTTCACACCTCTTCTAACAATGAGAAAAAGCAACACAAACACAGATGTTTTTAAACCAGCGAGAGAGCCAAGGACACAAAGAAATCTACATAAATGAAATTTCAGAAAGTGACAAGCCCTTCCTAGGAGAGAAGAAGCCCAGGGCTGCTCACCCCTGGCAGAGTGCTAGGAGGAGGGGAAGCCTGTCACAGGCAGAGTGAGAAGAGACTAGCCCAAATTTTAGCCAACTTTGGGTGCCTGCCTGTTTCTTTAGAAAGGCAAGATCCCCAGCCACCAAGAAGCCTCCACCACCTTCTGGGTCTTTCCAGGCACACAGGGGTTGTAGGGAGAGTAGGGCAGAGAAGCACGTAGAGGTTCCCATTAAGGTGTGTGTGGCCTTTGCTGAGAGCAAGGCAGCTGCCTGGTGAAGGCTCACTGGGAACAGGGCAGGAGAGCCGAGAGAAATCCTGTCGTGGCTCTGGAGTGTTCTGTACTCACCATCCAAAGGTTGAGGACATCCTGAAGCAGGGCAGGGAGATGGTCAGCAGTGCAGAAAGTGAGGAGCTGTGATGGAGAAGGAAGGGAGTTTCTTCATGACCCAGAAAGATGCCTGGCTGACTTGAAAGCTGAAAGAGACATACCCCAGTTTGGAAAATCGATGGGTTGACTGCAAGGCATAAAGAGATCTCTGGAGTCTCATCAGTGCTCAGATCTCAAGTCGTGCTAAAAGAGTCCTGACCCCACCCTTAAACTACTGAAGCCAGTGGTGAATTGAAATGAAAGCTGCAGTAACTCCAGACCCAAATCAGCTGTGGAGGGCTGACTCTGTGCCCCTGTCCCCAACAGCGACCTTGCCAAAGAAGGGGCGAGCCCTTTTCTGTGCATAAACAGTATTGATTCAGTCTCCGCTGTTCCTCCATACAAAACGTTCACCACAAAGTAAGTTAGAAGATATATGAAGAAACAAGTGAATGTGACTCTTGCCCACGAGGGGAAATAGTCGCTGGCCAGAGGTAGACACGGAGAGGGTCCAATTTTGGAATGTATCAGGCAAGATTTAGATGGTTATGCTAAGCATATTCAAGGATCAATGGATAACATGCGGAAACAGGTATGGAATTTCAGCAGCAATGGGAACCTTTTTTTTGTTTTTTGTTTTGGTCTGTGTGTATGGGTGCGTGTGTGTGTGTGCGCGCACGCATGCGTGTAGGGGCGGGAGAATCTAGAAAGTCAAAGTAAGACACTATACTTAGGGGTAGGACTTCGTACCTGAGAGCAGTACTTACTCTGCCTGTTGTGTCTGTGTGGTTCCTAGTTGTTAAATATAGAAAAACAGAAACAAAGCAAAAGAAAACAAAACAAAAAAGCAAAGCCCCTCAGGCAGTTCCTGGGCTGGAGGAAGCACAGCTCAATCCTGGATTCACTTCCTTTTCTCTCTGAGTAGGTGTGTCTGTGGTCGGGTACCAGTCCACGCATCAGGTGATGATTCTTTGTCTTTTTTCCTCAGCTTTGGCGAAGTCACTCATTCGAAAGGGCAGATGCACCAGAAGAGAATGTCTGAGTTCCAAAGCCTCTATAGATATTTTGAGAATATTTTATTTTCTTTACAGTTTTTTTTTGTTTGTTTGTTTTTTAAACGTAACAGAGGTTAAGGTTCATAGCCATGGGCTTGTGCATTTTTGCATACGTCCATCATGAAGGCCTCTTTTCTGAAGTTTTCTCGGTGAAGACCACCCCTCCCCCCTTTCTTTTTACAGCATTAGAAGTACTGTAATGTCTTTGCCAAGAAGTGTCAAAGGGTCCTCTTGGTATCATTGAAAAATTGAGTAAACTGTTTTGTTTTTTTTTTTCCCCCAAGCTGCATTCTTCTCTTCCCTAGGAAGTCGGTTTGACCTTTCTTTCTTTTTTCATTTCTTTTTCAATTTTCTTTCATTTGAAGAGGAGTGAACTGGTCCACACAAGACGTGACTTTACGTTGTGCCTTTCAGGGAAGGACAAATAATGAGTCTGAAACAGACCCCAAGTGCCTGCTGAACTTAAGCCTTTTCTGGGAAATGGAAAAGGTGCTTCTCTTTATTTACCTGCGATTACCCAGTTTGAAAATTGGTCGTGGTCACCCATTTTTATGCTTCCGTGTTCAGCTCTTTAGAATAAAAGTGTTAAATCTTTATTAGATGTTGTTCTTGGGGGTGGACCCAACCAGAGAAAATTTGGTTGGAAATTAGGACCATCTGTGTAGTTTGCAGGGCCCAGCGCAAAATGAAAATAGGGGACCCCTCATTCAAAATTATTAGGGCTCTTTGAGATGTGACAGCAGAACATGGAACCACGTGTGGAGCCCTTGTAAGGCTGGGGTCCTGTGTGACAGCTTGCATGCCTGTGAAGCCAGCCCTGCAGTTAGGATGATCTCAGCTTCTGGTTCCTTAGGATGTTGTTGACCTTCCACGAGGATGCTCATCCAGGTATTTTAGAATCCTGGTGTTCATTAAGGGAGATGAAGTTTTGGAGTCTAGTTATTAGGAAGGTTGTATGGCCAGGATGTAAGGCTGTGCAGGTTTTACACTGCACAATTCGAGGGAGTACCATTTACATTCTGAGTCCTCCCAGCTTTAGACGATTATTATGGCGTTTTTTGGTTTTTTTGTTTTTCCTGGCACATGCCAAAAATGGTCCCAAGGACAGAAGGAAGGCTTTCTATAGCGTACAAAGATGCTGTTTGGGCAATAGGTAGCTATTTTCGCCACCTTCCCTTTCCCTACCCGTTAAGATTTTCTCTTTCTTGTACAGATGTAATTTGTCTTTGTGACTGTAAGTGCCCACGTGACCTCACAGACCCACGTCTCTCTGTCTTTTCTCTTGTTTCTTCTCTCTGTCCTGCTTTTTCCTTCCCCACCTCCACTCCCCTTTCTCTCTCTAGCCTTTACTTTGGCTCCCAGAAACCTGGATCCACAGAAAGTCTCCTGAGGCACAGGCATTCGAATCTCAGGCTGAATTTTATTCAGTTTGTGCCTTCTAAAATCCTCCGTTCTAAATGGGAGAGGGGAGATCTATAACAATTTAAAGGAAACCCTGTGAACAGATGGTACCCATCTCAGCGACCCTTAAAGCCAGTCGCTTAAAAAGGAGTCAGGAATTTGAAACTACATCCCTGGGGAGTTCATTCTATGACAGGGGAATAGGAATAGAATCCCCAGGAGGACAGTCCGATCCCCAGGCCTTCAAGGTGAGGCCTCGAGCATAGGTTCTCTGAGCTGGAGGGGATCTTGGAGACAGAGTAGAGGTTCCACTTTGCGGGGCCCCACGCTATGAGAAGGGGCTGCCATGAGCCCCACTCGTAGCCCGTCCAGTGCTCTAGATTTTCCGCCGGCGCCTGTCTGAGGTCCGTGTAACCCGGGCCAACCCCAGGGGTGTTGCTGGATGAGGACTCTGACAGAGGTGGATGTGGCTGACCAACCACAGGACACAGGGCTAGTTGCACACCTCATCACCCATCCTGTCATCCCTTCACCGTTGTCCCGGGCATCAGGGCAAGGACGGTTTTGTTTGCCTGCTCGCGCTCTCCAGAGAAAAGACTTCTCCCCTTCCTCGGGGCTGCCCTATGACGTTCGTTGTCACCCAGTTTTACCTACAGGAGAAGTGTTCTCAAGAAGGAAGACGAAAAGCCAGACTGTCTGTAGGGCTCCTTTATTCCCCACAACAAAGCTGCGGGCTGGCCATTATTGGAAAACACTCCGTGCTTGGACACGAGCCGACTGTTGCTGCTCCGGAGAAAACAAAAGCTTCTCCACGTTCTGCCTTGAACCTGGTCACCAAGGCCTGTGCGCTCCTTGTATCTCTAGCAGGGTCACAGAGCAACGTGTCTGCCTCCAGTTCATGAGAAGGTTCCGCCGGCCTTCCTGGAAGGTTTAACACTGCACATTCTTGGTCTTGTAATTACCCATTTTAATCATTCCTCTGTCTCAAGGTTGCAAGCCCCTGACAGGCAGCTTCTCTGTCTCGATCATCTCGGAGCCCCCCCGCTGTCTGCCCCCGGATTGGGCACGTGGCAGGTGCCCTGTCCAGGAGTTCGCTGGTGATGCTAAGACATTCAGCAGTCAGATCCGGAACAGGGCTGCGCAGAGGCACCCTGGGGTTTAGTCTCACCTGGAATTTAGAGTAACGCGAGGCCGAATTCTGCTTAGTCAAACTCGACATCTGTGGCTGCGTTTCTCAGAATAGCCCAGCAAAGAGAACACGGAGGCTCCTGCCAAATCTGTTGATGTCAAGGATGACAACTCCATATGCTAAGAAGCAGAAAGCCCCAGTTGAACTGTTCACTCTCGGTCCAGGATGCAGAAGCAATGGAAGGGAGAAAGATGAAGCCTGTCTGGCATCACTTTTTTCCCGTTTCCCCACCAGACCAGGAAGAGAAGAAAATCGAATTTTAAAAATCAAGGTGGCGTGATCGCCATTTTTAAAAAGTCCTAGATATCAGTGTTAGGGTAGTCCTTTTTATTTTTTGTTATTATTTTTTTACATTTTTTAAAATGTTTATTTATTTTTGAGAGAGACAGAGACAGAATGCGAGTGGGTTAGGGGTGGAGAGAGAGGGAGACACAGAATCGGAAGCAGGCTCCAGGCTCTGAGCTGTCAGCACAGAGCCGGACGCGGGGCTCGAACTCACACACCGTGAGATCGTGACCTAAGCCGAAGTCGGACGCTCAACTGACTGAGCTGCCCAGGCGCCCCAGGGTGGTCCTTTTTAAATCCCAGAAAGGTTAATTAGTAGCTCGTATGGAAAAAGCCTTGGGAGCCCCTCATCGGGACCAATATGGATTTCATTTTTTAAAGAAATGGAATCTTCCAAGTCCTGAAGGCCATAGTGGTCAGGAGCGCCTACGAGCGAGGTGTTGAAAACTGCTGTTTTTCAGATGATTTGGTCAAGAAGACACACACGCACCCCCACACAAAACAAAATTAAACAAAAAAAATCTCTTGTTTCAAAATAGTTTGGCTTTCCATGATGTGCTCTTGATTCATTTACTCTAGCTGGGAGGCAGTGCAGGGCCGTAACCATAGACCTGTTCCAGCAACAAAGAAGATGACGTCCTCAGACCTTGAATTTGTCACTCTGTGATCCCGTTCCACCTGAGCCCCTGACGAGGCCCGTGTTGGCCTCCTTCTTCTGTAGACGGCCGTTTCTGCACCTGCACAACCCACAGGCTCCAACTATTGCATTCGCTCCAGGGCACATCCTCACGTGACTCTAACCAAGGTGTTTATTGTCAACCCGTAAATTCAGGCGGTTCCTCGGAGGTTGGGAAAATATGTTTATTTGTGCTGTGCCTTCGAGAGCTCGGAAATGTGGCAACACTGTGGAGTTGTGGGAGCGGCTGCTGAGCACCCTGCCAGGACCAGTCTGTTCTGCAGTCGAACTGTGACCACAAAAGGCGAGGTCTCTGCCCCCGCGGAGCCGATGTTCCGCTGGCCAGTGTAGATGGGCTCCTTGCTCTGCCCCCCGGGAGCTCTGTGACCGTGAGGAAGCACTGTAACCTCTCTGTGCCGGGGCGTGTTTTCATCTCCTGAAGGCTAGAGTGAGATCCTTGGAAGGCTTCGTGCTCGATTCACCCATTTCCCCTTTGTCCCT